CCATCTGCCTGTGGTCCACACCTTCAGTCACAATGGGAAACAGAAACCATAATCAAGCTACAGAGGCCTGCATAAATCCACACATATTTAGAAGGATCTGATTCTCAGATTATTATTTTGTTACCATCCTAAGATCATTAATATTTTGGCAAGAGACCCTGTATTTTCATTTTGCACTGGGTCCTATACATTAGTAGGGGGTGTCTTGGTCACTACAGTAGACTGTAGTGTGCACAAGCTCACAGATTATTAGTCTGGCCTCAGGCTCAGGTGTTTCAGTTTGAATGCAGTTTAGCACTAGCTCAATCAACATTCTCCAGGAAGCCCCTTATTCCTCTCCTCTCCTTCCCCCACAGACACCTGAGAACATCATGGATGTTTATTCTGTGTTACATTCAGACCTAAAACTTGAGAGAGTTTTATCTCTGACATCCAAGTCCCCTGTCTTGTTCTAAAGTGTGACAGGGAACGAGCACAAGGTAATGTTGGCGCCAGGAAAGGGATAAGGCAGAAAAGAAAGAATTGACTGTGTTTTATAGAAGGGCAATGCTCGTTCTGGTCATTGAGGATGAATAGCAGCCAAGCTTGGAGGCAAGAAGGACGACCCAATCGGAGAGAAGAATGTGGTTAACAGGGCTGGGAGAAGATACAGTGTACTTTAGGAACAGTGGGGAACACAAAGGACTGGACAAGGCCATGGGATGAAAGTAACATGCCCCAGGAAGGGTGGGTTAGAATTATACTGAAGATATTTGCATACCAGACAAGGAATGATTTTCCAATAGAAAACAGGATGATATAAAAGATTTCCTTTTTTAAAAAGTTATATAAATGAAGAGTTGAAGCATATAGTAAAATGGAAGATTTTTATAACAAACAGTTGTCTATATATTATGTAGAATTCATCATGGTTGACATTTCCCCCATAACTAGAAAAGTAATATAGCTCTGAGGGTTTACTGTCAAGGAATTGGGATTAGAACATAAAAGCTATGTTAGGTAGCCTGGATGTATACAGATGAATAGAAAGGTAGTCAAGGAAGAGCCATTTTTCGTATTTAAGTCTAACATAGGGTAAGATTCTCAAGGGAAATATTTCCCTAGACTCCAGGTTAATTTTTTTTTTTTTTTGTGAGACAGCGTCTCTCTATAAGCGACCCAACTGTCCTAGAAATTAGAATGCAGACCAAGCTGGCCTTGAGCTCACAGAACTTTGCCTGCCTCTGTCTCTCAAGAGTGCTGAGTCTAAAGGTGTTTGTCATGAAGCCCAGTTTAGACTCTAGATATTTAATTCGTAATATTTTCTTCTCAAACTTTTATAGAGAGTGCCTTATATTCTTCAGATGTTTTCTACTACAGAGAAACTCTGAGGCCAGTCTAAGTTTTATGTCTTTCAAACTACTTTTATCTCTTGGATATTTTTGGCACTATTTTCTTCTGATACATAATTCACAAAGATTTTAGATATCTGAGTTAGGTTTAAACCTTTTTTCTTATACTAAACATTATGAAAAAGGAAAACATCCTCTTTAGCTTTTGAAAGTTTTCTTTAGTGATGTCTCAAATTATTTTTCTTTCCTCAATTTTTCCTTCTGCTTTCTGGAGCCTCAAAGATATTGCCTAGAGTCAGAGAACTTGGCTGGCTTACAATACACCCATGGTTTGATCCCTGGAACAAACCCCAAACCAAACCAAACCAAACCAAACCAAACCAAACCAAACCAAACCAAACCAAACCAAACCAAACCAAACCAAACCAGGCCAAATCAGGCCAAGCCAAGCCAAACTGAGAACAACAGCAGCAACACCAAAAATGATTTCTGGAATCATCGATTATTCCAAAATTGCATGAATATTTTTATATTTTTTAGTATTTATTAAAAAAAACCTTTGTGGGTCTCCTTTAACCTTTATTTTTATTTTTTTAAATTTAGCATTATGTATGTGAGTGTTTGCCTGCATGTATGTATGTATGTGCAATACATTAATTCCTGGTCCCCTTAGAGGCCAGAAGAGGGCATTTGATACCCTGGAACCGGGAGTTGCAGAGTGTTATGAGCCACCCTAACCGTGCTGGGAATTGAACCTGGAGCAACACAAGAGCATCCAGTGCTCTTAGCCACTGAGCTTTATCTTTCCAGCCCCTCTTTGAGAGTTTACAAATGCTCGTTATACTCTCTATGTGTGTTTTGGTTTTTTTCACAGTGCCAAATGCTAATGCCTAGCTTATAATTGTATTGAAAGAAGGTTTCGCGAGATTCAGTGAACATGGTACTAAGGACAGGAACCTGATATTTCCACCAACATAGTGTTGGCTAGGCCTTTGCATTGGTGATTTCTGGGTCTTGCTTCTCTAATGTCAGATAGGTCTTCTTATCTAACCCTGTAGAAAAATTTAAGATAAGAAACAGATGTCTAGGGATTCCTAATTTTGTGGCTTCTACACATTTCTCAACTGAACCTTGAAAATGAAGGCTGCCTCATCCACCTCAACCTGAGTTGTGTTAGAAGGACGAAGTACAAATCTCATAGCCTCTCACAGCTATTTTCAGTAGAGTGCACCCATTATTTTCTGATCTACCTCTGTTTTACTTCAGTCAGTGGGTATTGTCCCTTTGGGTGGCAATGCTATCTTTTATATCCTCTATGGGGTAAACATCTGTTCATTCTAAATCATCAGTCACTCCAATGACGCTATTTGTAAACATATCTTTCTTCAACTTTTTTATTGAGACTTGATTGATCAGGACTCAGCTACAGTTGTGTGTGATTGCTTGTCTTTGATGAAGTTGAATGGCATTGGAGAAGCAGTTTGAATGTATGGAGCATGGAGAATAAAATTTGATTTATTCAATCAACAAATACCACATATCATATGGTAAATATTATACTACACGCTTTCATTTGGATCATAACTGAGTCAAGGTTCCTGATTTCGTGACTCTCACCGATGGATGCTGAGATGATACATGGCAAGCAAAAAAATAATTTCAAGTAAAGAACCAAAGAAAACAAATACATTGTTTGAATTTTATTTTAAAGGTGAATATTTGGGGCTATCAGAGGAAAAAAAAAGTAGATTTTTTTATAGTAGTTCCTTGTGGTTGCACAGCATCAAACCAATCTAAACCTCAGTGTCATATGACATTAGCATGTTCCCCTCATCTGTATGTCATTCAACTCAGTTGTCCTAGCCTGACTTCAGCTGGGTCACTGAGCTGGATTCACTCATGTATTTGGGACTGCCAGAGAATGGCTAAACAAGGCTGGGCTTGTGGGAGTAGCTTATCTGTTATTTGAAATCATCAGAAACAATGCTTGCATAAGGTGCAGCAATTCAAGCCCCAATAAGCAAATCTTTTGTAGCCTTTGTATATATACTGCTATTCACTGCCATCCACTTAAGCAAGTCACTTGGCCACACCCATACATAAAGGACAAAGAAACACACCACAGTCAAAATGGGAAGGCATTGGAAAGGCACATGGCAGAAGGTATAGATTTATACTCCTATTGGTGGATAGAGAATGAACAATTCACTAGTCTGTCTTAGATCTCATATATGTGTGATATTATATCATAAAAAGAACTTGAGCCTACTAAATCCTTAAATCCCTTCTCTTTGTTTCTACCCTTGGCCCATCACACATATGCTTGCTTGTTCATGTGGTCTTGGTTCACTTATGTACAGTGATGCTGTGTCTTCCAGCATCTGTATCTCTTGCTTAGAAGATCTTCTCTACCTCATGGAGTATATGAAAGTATGTAAGTTTATGAGAATCTACTCTGCTACCTGACAGGGCTAGGAGTCTAAAAACTACTGCCCAACCTGTGTTGTATGTAAATAGTAGCTCTTTCACTCAAAGGAATGGGATAATTCTGAAGTCTATCCCCAAGAAGCTTCTAGCTTGCATGCAAGCCCTGTTGACTGTCTCCTGTTGTTGATTCCATGGAGTCTCTATCAAACTATGTACAGCAGTCAGGCCTTTGTCTTGGGTGTCTGACTCTGGGGAAAGCTGTATACGACGATATATACCAAGAGTCTGTTGTGAGAAGAAAGCACCTTTGGACGAGTATTTCTACTGTAGCTGAGTCTTGAGAAGTTATATCAATCTGTATCAGACAGTAGTGTAAAGACTACAAACTTTGAATTAAAGAATCTGGCAATCCTGAGACCAGCGCACTGTCTTCTAATTTACTTCCCTGGCCTTCTCAGAACTGATGCTGCTGTAGGTTAAAGGGAAGTGTGATGGAGGTTACAAACTCCCAGAGGGACATTCCGAATCCTCCTATAAGAACAAGATACATTAATATCACATATGGTACCATGGTCATATTCAGTAAAATACCTATCTATCACATTAAGATGTCTGCAAGGTAATAGCGAGAATAACATTTGTGTGTGTATGTGTGTGAGTGGTGTGTGTGTCTGGGTGAAGATATTACTATCAATGTATTCATTTCACAGGAAGAGAAGCCAAAGGTCAGAGGAGCCTAGAGACCCTGGATCACTCAACAAGCGATCCAACTGAGATGGATCTTTCTCACTTCAAGATTAGCATTGTTTCCACTCTGCTCTGCAATCCTTCAGCCATGTTAGCTATTTATTCTTTGCCTTGACTAGTCAAAGTGCCCCAAAGACAGGAATAGATTAATTTTCCCTGTGGATTGCCAGGTTCTGCTCAGGGAACTTGGTTATTGAGAAAAGAATTAGATAATTGTCAGGAGGAGAAGACAGCTTGTAGGAGAATGTGATAAATTCAGCCAAGTGCCCGCCATGGGTGAAGGTGTCAAGCTGATGCCAGAATATAGGCTTTTGGATCTTACTTAAGAAAAGTAACCACTAATGTTTGTCTACCATTCCACAGATGTCAAAGTCCTTTCTGATGCTTAATCTCATTTAATTTCAACAGCCCTGTGCTCTGAGGTGACCTCCTTTGTCAACATAGTCACTGTAGAAAACCAAGGCTAAGATAAAAGTTGTGCTTAGACAAATCCAGCTCGTGAGTAAAGGTTAGTGTGATCTGGGGACTCACCATCGGTTGACAGCTGCAGTGTTATGAGGTACATGTTTCTTTATTCCACCACAACTGAAATTTACATAGTTCTCAGTGGTGATAGGACAGACCCAGTTTTAAGTCGAAACGTTAGTAACTGAGAGGTTATTGTCCATGCTTTCTAAAGGAAAAAGCAAGGGTTTGGGTTAAGAGGACTCTCCCAAGGACACTGTTAGTAATTTCCAGGGCCAGTGGTCAATTTGGGATCCTTTAGTATTTGGTCAAGTTGGGGGCAGCCCTCACAAAGGAGAAGCAAAGTTATAGCAGAGGCCCTCGCAAGAGTCTGTATCGTCTTATTTGCTAATGAGAATCAGCTGGGATTCTTGAAGTCCTTGCCTACCAGGGGCTTGGAAATATCTCAAGGAGCTTAAAATGCAGAACCAGAAGTAGGCATTTCTCAGAGATCAGAGGCTGGTTGGTGTGGCTTCCTGAGAAGGATGGAATTCTTGGGTGTCTTGGGCTGGGCCTGCTTTCTATTTGTGGTCTATCTGCCTCTCACTCTTCCTCAGGCAAATATGGTAGTGAAGACAGTGAGGAGGAAGAGGATAAACTGAGAAGCAGACAACGATGAGGAGGAGAAAGATGAGGAGAAGGGAAAAATAAGTAGGGAGGGAGAAGAAAGAAAAGAGGGAGGAGAGACAGGGAGGAGAGGACAAAAGCTGATATGCCATGCTATTCTGAATGAGAAACAGCTCCCTGCTCATAACTAGCACAGGATCTGGGAAAAGAGTACACTTTGGTGCCTTGTCCAACTAAAGGGCTTTTATATCGGTTGCAGAATCTGGGTGTTTATTTTTCTTTGCTTGTATTGCAAATTTATAACAAGCTGAAAACAGAGCAGATTTTATTCCGTTTTTTTTTTTTTTCAGTTGGCCTCTCACTTTCTTCCCAACAATGTCTGGGTTTCCCCCAAAGCTACCAAGTGCTAATTTGAAAAATATGCTGCCGACACGTGGGAGAAAAGGAGGCATCTATTGTGAAATACCCTGTGGGGCACTGACGGGCTTCACGAGAGGACGACAGACAGACACAGGATACAGGGAAAGAGTTGGGTGAGCAAAGAAAGAAAAAAAGAAAAGAGGAGCAAAGGAGAGAGAGAGAGAGAGAGAGAGAGAGAGAGAGAGAGAGAGAGAGAGAGAGAGAGAGAGAGAGAAAGAGAGAGGTTTGTGCCCTGAGCAAGGGAGCCTGTGGGAATAAGAAGCAGATGGACCAGAGAATGCTAGGCATACAAGTCCCCGTGTAGCTTGGTGAAAGCCAAGGCTTCAGGATGCAGTCTTCCATTGGACATGAAGCATACACATGAACCTCACTCTTAATATTAATTTCTGCATTTCCCAGAGTCTCATATAGGGCACTTCATAAGAAAAATGTAGAGTTAAGTATCCTAGGAAATAACTGCATCCTCCCAGAACCTCCTGGGAATTCTTGTGGGTAGAAAGAACTATCACTGGTGAGCTTCCTGGTCTTGCTTTGGCTGTTAGGAAGCTTGTGGCAAACTTCACAGTTCAAAAAGAGCTTAGGCAGAGAGCCTACCACTTGTTTAACCTATTTATCTCTTAGCTTGTCTTTGGTTTAAATGAAAGAAAAAGATTGTCTTGATTTAAAAGAAAGAGCATTCTATCATTTCAGTCTGTTATATGAATGGCTTCAAAAATCTTCGCACAATAATGAAGATGTAAGTCAATAACCAAGAACAGATATGATCAAACCTTGCTAGAGCATCGTTCAGCTGAGCAAATTGGAGGGACCAATGAGCAATGGGAGGAAATCCTGAATCCTGACTTCAGGCTCTATCTACATTCACATCTCAAGAAAGGCACCTTGGAGAGAAACAAGAAGTGGTCCAGAGGAGTCGAATGTAGTGTGTGGCTACTCTTGTTTCTAAGACCAAACACAAAGTCTTAGAAATAAATTGAAATACTTCAGAGAACTTATCTTCTGAATCCTTTCCTGAGCAGGCTCAATTTTTTAAAGCGTTGGTAAGAGATAGGATTTGGAGGCCAAGGACTGAAGTTCATGACTTTTTCTTTGGAGACTCTTTAAAGAGTAGACAGTCATAAGATCCCAGCTTAACTCACATACAGGGACACCATAAGTTTCATCATACTGTAACAAATTGAAGGCTCTGTGCTCTTATTTTACGGTATGTGCTTTCTTTCCCTTGCTCGGTGCTCATTATGTTGCTGAAATTCCATTGCCATCCTCAGCCCACGACCCTTTTCTCTCCTTGATTCTATGGTGAACTCCTACACAACCATTAAAGCCCAGCTTAGTATCATCAGTTTAATGAAGCCACAGCGCTACCATTTTTTATGAGTACTTTGTTTTTGACTTCCTTCATTCAGTTCAGCAGTAGACTCCCCCACTACGGTGTGTTGTTCTTGATTATTTTGCTTTTGGGGATTAAGAACAACAAAGCAGATTCGACAGTGGTAGAAGTGGAGAGTAGAGAAATTGGAGTTGAGGCTGTTACACAACCTGGGTAAATGACTTAATCATCCATTTCCTCATTTGATAAATGGGAGCAAGGATAGCAAGAATCACATTGGCTGGCATTTAGTCCTCAGTGAGATAACGAATGAAAATTAGGGAGTATAGCTGTTACACAGTATGTATGATTTCTTTCTGTAATTGAAGTCCAATCTTGTCTTCCTCCAGGAGCCCTACACAGCTTGAGCTTTCAGAATTTGACTGTTTACTTGTTCTTTACACTCTCTAAGTAGACATGTGCTCTTGCCTTGTCTGGGAAAGATGGAAACTTGGCTTCAGTAGTTGACACAGGTGTGACTAGGACCTAAGGGCACTCTGACTGAGGGTGGATGACCTATTTTTGCTGTGCTATTCGGAGCTCATCACAATGTTGACTCATGTCTAGATGCAGCCTCTGGGGAATAGCATGAGCAAGGAGGGCCATGTCCAGTTATTTCCTGTTTGTATCACGAGGGTGGCATTCTCTATATAGTTTCTGGGAAGAGTATATGATGTATATGTCCAGTTCCAGGTGGTTTACAAATAAAAAAGGTCTGTATGTATCTTTGTGGTTGAATAATAACTACCTAAGGTTGAATTTTTTTCCCATGGACCACCGCATCCAAACAATTTTGTATGTGCTTGAATGGCTGACCACTCTGCACTAGTTGTCATCATCCACGCCATTTGGGGATAGCACCAGAGATGAGAATGGAAGCGAAGACAGATGCAGTGATGTCTTTAAACATTTGGAGCTAGTTGTAGATTTATTCGAGTGAAAAAGAAAAGCTCGAGAAGGGGGCGGCAAGGGGTTGAGGGAGACTCTTCCTTGCTACAAATGAAACTTGGAGTAATCTCTTCCAGTTGACAGGGAACCACAATCACCTCTGCCGACCTAAGAGAGCCACCCCTGGGATTATGGAAGGTTGTCACAGAAATATTGCATTCTCCTAGCCATGGGAGCTGTGTCAGCGTTTTAGAAGATTGCTGAACTCAACTATTTAGAGAGTCCTACATCTTCTCCCCGACAGGACACCAGAGCAGCGGGGAGGATGAAAGGCAAGGAGGCTGTTCAGGGAGGAGTGTGCTGTTTTAAACTGATCTCCTGCTCACTTTGAAAATGGGTATCAAGTAGGCAACTTGGAGCCAGGATCTTGATCTAACTGAGTCTTCTTGATTTGGGCAATTGCTATATTCCTGAAGATATGTGTGCTTGGAAGATTTTTGTAAAACAGTCATTGAAAAGCCAGTAGGGAAGATCACAATTTGGAAGAGTCCACTGGGGTCAGGATCTGGTTATTTTTTTTTGGGGGGGTGGGGGGGGGGGGGGGGGGGGAGGTGGTGGTGGTGGCAGCTTTAGCTTTCAAATTAATACATTTGAAGTATTAGGCTTTTGATTGTTTTTGAAAGGTGGGCAATGCTAACAAAAATATTATGAGTTTTGCTAGCAATCTCTCGAATGCTGGCTTGATCATATTAGACAAATGTGTAAGACGTTGCCAAGTATTACAAAGCTCATTGGAAATTAATTCAATTAAAGTAACCTGGACAGTTTGACGCCTGGGATCACTGTGTAAATCCAATTACTTGACACAGTATGTAGCGAAAGGGTTGAAAATTTCTGTGTAATCCTTTATATCTAGAACATTTACATCTCTCAGGTATCCTTTTGAAGGGAAGAGGATATTTAAATAATCAGAAAATGTTTCCAAGGGATAGTGCAAGTGTATGAGGTATTTTGTTTATTTGACATTATTTAGACTTATGTATTGGAAACCGAGACCAGCCATCAACTTCTGAACATCTACACACTACCCACCATCATCCTGGACACTTCCATGTTCTTTGTTCTTCATTTTATAATTACATTGGATATTATTTAATTTGCTTTATGGGGAAGACTCAGAGGCTTAAGAGACACAAATGAAATGCTCAGAGCTTGCAAGTGGGTTAATTGGTTACTGATCTAGGACTCACCGGCTGAGACTTTGTTCTTCAACATAATTATGTAAGAAGTGAAAAAAAAATTGAGGCAGAGGAAAGAAGATCAAACCCCAAGTCCAAGGCTAATGTGGTTTATATAGTGAGTTCTAGACTCAGAAGGGACTATACAGTGATACCTTATCTAACCTCACAAACGAACAAAATTAACTAATGTTTGGAATCAAGGTATAATATATGGGAACAGGAGGGGACATTTCAAACTGGTGGCTGCAGATATAGCTGGCAGAAAATGGAAGAGACTTCATGATGTGGCTATCATACAAGCTTATGGCTGTCATTTATCAAGTCCTTGCCATGAGCCTGGTGTGATGGGAGGCTTTCTCCTTAAAACACAGACTTCCCACGAAGTATGAAGAAATTGAGGTTCTGAGACATACGCTCACTTGCCTGAGGCCATGCAAGTCATAAGCAAGGGCTTTTAGACACGCAGGCTTATTTCTCCATACCTTGTGATGTTTCCGTACTACTTGAGAGCTCACCATCCAAACCCCGAAATGTAAATGCTTTTATCTATCATTAAAAGCTGGAATTTAGGTATAAGTCTAAGACTTGCTTAGTAATGTGCAAGGAAAGTATGCAACAATGTGTGTTAGCCCTGACACCAACAGCTTTTTACTACAACCAAGATGTCTTGTTTGGTGCCATGAAAGCAATAAAAGTATAGAGATTTTAAGATGCTGGAGAGACTTTAAATCTGGAAAGACAGCTTTAAAGAAGTATTTTTAAAACATTGCAAGAACACATAGTCTAAAATGTCAAGTCACTTTACAAGGTATGTAATGGGAGAAAGCAATCTCTTTTAAGTTTCCGGCTGTCTCTTGTTTTCGATTCCTTCTCATACTCCTGTCCCTGATTTTCTAGACAATATCTTCCATTTGTGGTTTCTTTATCTTTAAGACACACACATATACTGCTATCTCTTTTTTATTTTTCTCTTCCCTCTCTGTCTCTCTTTGTGCGTGTATGTGTGTACATGTGTGGGTACATGTGTGCATTTGCACATGGAGGCTTGAGAATGACACCAGGGCTCTCCTGCCACAGCTCTCTATGTTATTTATTGAGACCGGCTCCCTCCAAGGTGCCCAGACCTAACAGATTCAGCTGGTCTGGCCAACAAGTGTACTTCAGGGATTCCTGCCCTCTCAGTGCTGGAACTGGCCATGGGCTGCCACGCCCATTTAGGATTTACATGAATTCTGGGACTCAGAAGTGTGGTCCTGATGGTTACATGACAAGTGCTTTAACCACTGAGCCATCTCCTCAGTCCTTCTTTTTTATTATTAATAAAAGTTGTGAGTTTCAGTACAACATTTTAAAAGACTTTTTTTCCTTTGGTTAGGTTTGAGTACGTGCGTGTGTGTGTGTATGTGTGTGTGTGTGTGTGTGTGTATGTGTTAATATGAAGACCAGAATTCAAATTCAGAGTGTTGTTCCTCTGATGTTATCCACTTTGTTTTTTAGATAGAGTCTCTTCTTTGTCCAGAGACTCCATATTTAACTAGCTGGCTGGCCAACAATCCGTAGGGTCCTGCTAATCTCTGCTTCCTCAGTGCTGGGATTACAAGTTTGTGCTAATATGCTGCAGTGGGTTTGGAGATGGACTCTTGGTCGTCATGCTTTGCCTTCTGAGCTAATGTCCAAACCCTCATATGACGTCTTCATAGATAGGTGTAACCAGACTCTGTTGTCACTCATTGCTTTCCCCTCTTCCACTCTCTGTACCCCATGCTTTCTGGCTGGGCCTTGAGTTCTCTTCTTTTCTCTAGTGAGTCCCTTTCTTCTACTTTCTTATCCCCTACTACAGGGGTCTCTTCCTTCTCATGAACCTCCTTTCATCTCTCTGACTCTTTGTCTCTGTCTGTCTCTTTCTCGATTATACACACACACACACACACACACACACACACACACACACACATACGTACAGTACAATGTAAAATCCCTAGGTAGCCAGTGAACTTAGTATGTAAGAGCACTTGCTGCCAAGTCCAATGTCCTGAGTTTAATTCTTGTTTTCCCACAGATATCCATCTATTACCTCTGGCTCTTACAATCTCCCTCACCCCTTTTCCAAGATAACCTTTGAGCCTTGGGGACAAAGAACATGTTATAGCTGTCCAGTTTAGAACTGAGCATTCTCTTCAGCCATATATATATGAAAAAATCAACCCAAACCAAACAAAAAACTTTTCTCCCAATGTATTTCTTCTTTTAAGAACTCTATGTTTGGTTCTATGCCTCAATTTTTAATTATGTTGTTTTTCTTAGAGTTTAGTTTTTTTGTTTTTGTATTCTAGATGCTAACTTTC